AACCCTAATATGACGTAAAAGTTATTAACGCAATTAAAGATAAATTTTAAATTGGTGTTTAAAGTTGATTTAGGGCTTTAAAGTCCATGACGAGACGAACAAAATGAGGTATAGTTTGTCGATTTCTGAAAATTAATACCTCTGTAATCAATCGACGAAGATAGTATAGAAAAAATTTCAATTCAAGTTTTCTGATAATCAAGATATCTGATTTTCAATTGAGAGGTGTCATTTGAAGCTTGGAAGACGAGTTTTCTATCGAAATAAATCTTATGAAAATCCAACGATTGTATTTTGGTTAATAGCCTAAAAAAAAGTTAACAATTGATCAATAATTTTCTAACTACTGATCAAAATCCAAGCATCAATCAAACAATGTCAAATATATGGGCAGGCGACTATTGTTGATAAAACATGTCTTTAGCTATCGACAACTGTATTTCTATATTTCTGAAGTCACAATTTCTACCTATCAAAAAACTGTTTTTATGCACTGATGGCAATAATATGAGATCAATTTATATATTACTAGTAGTCTTTAAAGAAGGGTTTAAAAATTTTAACAAATAATATTATAATATAAATTTTGTATTTATATATGTATGTTTTTCTTTTCTTTTTTAATTATTATTTTTTTTTTATTTAAAGTTATAATCATGGTTTTCAAAACCGGACTGGACCAGCCGGTCCGACCGGTTGAACTAGGAACCGACTTGTTCACTGGTTCGGTCTCTAGAAATAACAGGTCAAGAACCGATCAATGGCCGGTTCAACCCGGCAAAACTGGTTATAAACCGGTTGGTTCAACCGGTCAGGTTTTTCTTTTATTTTAAAATACAAATTCTAACACAATTTATAAAGCAAATAACTTGTTCCGTTAACCGACGTGGAACAAATTGTTAGTAAAAATTTCAATTAAGACTATCTTTATTCATAACCCAACCCAACCCAATTCTTTTAATAAAATATTCATTTCTCTCTCCTCCACTAATACAACCCACAACCCAATTCTATTTCTACTTTTATCCATGACACCAACCCAACCTAATATTTTTTCTTTTCACTTTATTTTTAAATAAAATTAGATATATTAATTTGTATTAAATTAAAAAATAACAAAAATATATAATTATAATGCAAAAATATATACTCGTTCATTTAAATAATCGATATTTAACTTAACAATAAAATAAAAATTATAAGAGTTGAAATATAAAATTAGAAATAAATAAACTGAGCTACAAATAGTTGCATAAAATTACAACAGAAGTGAAAATTACATATTTAATTACGAGTTCCGAATTTTTCTCTAATCTTTTGGTGCTTGGAGTTTCTTGATAGGAAGGCCTAGGATACTCTGCATCTTCGGAAGTCCTTGATCTTTTGGTGCTTCCACCACTTTCTTCGTCATTACCCTCTTCATCTTTAGGACGAAAACGAGTTTTATCCTGAAGCGGTATCACCTCCCACATTGGATGTTTACACATAACTTCATTGAAGACAATCGAATCCTGAAACTTGCTACCACCTGCTTCATAAATTCTATGAGCTTCGTTCTCAACATCCTTGTCAGTCATTCCACTCTTTTTCCGAACACACGCTTCCTTGTAAGCAGCCACCCACTTGTTTGCATTTTCATTAAGCCGTTTTCAACGACTTTTCATTGATTCGATATTTCTTTCATTCAGCTCATCCGGCTTTTCTGCTTGGTGTTCGTGATACAGATTGTGCACACGAGCCCATAGCGAGACTCCTTTTTTATTTCTGCCACGTATGTTATCTTCGCTAACGAACATCCACAATGACATAAGAGTTATATCTTCTTTCACACACCAATTATTTTTGGTCCGCTTTAGATTTTTGTTAGGACGTTGAACATTTTCAAACAAATTGCGGAAAATTTTTTCTGATGTGGGCACATCTTGAGAGGTGTGAATTTGGCTAAGATTTGGAGAATTTTGATATTATTGAGAACTATGCTCATATTCGGAATTTGGAAATTGTTGAGAATTCGGATATGGAGCAAAATTTGGATAATTTTCGGAGTTGGGTAAGTTGTCTGAGTTTGGATAGTTTTGGGAGTTGAAAAAATAATTTGGATAGTTTGGATCCATAACCACAAATGAAGAATAGAGAGAAAATATAGAACAAGAAATGTGTGAAGAAAAGAGAGGTTGTATTTGGTTGTGAAATTGTATCAATTTTATACTCTATTTATAGAGAAAAAAAAAATATGAATTTTGATATAATTTTTATTTATTTTTTATTTAAAATTATTTACAATATTATTAATTTAAAAACATAACAAAAAAAAAAAAATACAACCCACCACATGCTGCCAAGTGGCAGCTTATGGTTCATTCAAAAATGGGTTGGTCGACATGCCTAGGTTGATGACTCTGGTGGGGAAAAATTCAATTTTTACTTTTTTCTTTTTCTTTTGTCGTTTCTCACGCCACCGCCCCGGTGGCGTTAATAAAGATGGTCTAATGCGCGTGGGAGTGTGACTGTGAGAGGAAACTTCTTTTTCTATATTTTGTGTTATTATTTAATCTGACATGGGAGTGAGAGGAAATTTCTTTTTCCATATTTTGTTCTATTATTCTATTACTTAATCTGGGAGTGGGAGGAAATTTTTCTTTTCCATATTTCTGTCCTATTATTTTCTTACTTTTTTTTAAAAAAACGAAGCAAGAAAGATCAATGGTAGTGCATGAACATGTAATCATCATCAATTACAGAACAAGTGGTTGGTTAATATCATCACGTCTTCCTTGCATAACCAAGTTACAAAGAACTATATTCAATCATGTAAAATATCAATAAGCACAAAACAAGTAGCACAAAAATTGAATTAATTAAAAAATAAATTGAAACGTATATATTTATCTTTGACTGCGCTCAACTTTGTAAGAACAAGAATAAGAACTCTATATAGCGGAAGCAATAAACCGAAGATTTGAAAACTCTTTAGGGAAGCATCTCATTTCCCCTCAGAGCTCTTTCATTGATAACACTTTTGAACATCGTTTGGACTTATAACAACTAGAACTCTCTTCTAAGCTATCCACAACAATGAACAAACCTATCAACTACTTCTCCGGCCACATCCCGTGGACTTATTTCCTAATACTTACTCTCTAAGTGTAGATCACTAATATCTGAATCGAAATAAAGAAAACACAATAAAAAATGATCTCAGTTCTTCGATGTCCGAGTGTACAAAGAACTAAATCGAAAATAAAAATGTAAGCACAAAAAACTTGAAGCTCGAAGGCGGCGTGTGAGTGATAATCTCAGCAACCCTACTTCGATCTTCAAGGTGAGTATTTATACAATTTCCTTCGTGTGGAGTCTTCTAAAGATTCTTGATTTCCTTCCAAGTTTATCCAAAGTCCCATAGTGGCATTAGGACTCTTCTTCTCTCTCCTAAGATCTTCTTTCATTACATGATGATCTTCTCTTGATCTCTCCTTATCTCATGAGTATCCCTTCCTTAAAACCGAGATCCTATAAAAACAATACCAAAATGAGATCATGTAACTTAATTAATAAATAAACAGAAATTCGAATATCTATCTAAATAAGTAAAAAAACTTCCCTTAAATAGTTTCCTTGTGCTCGTAGGAACATATCTTCAATATATTTATTTTTGAACTTATGCCAAAAATAATACTCTTTCATAAATGAACCACAACAATCACTAGAGGAATAAGATAAAATTTCAATCACTATTATTTTATTACATAATCTATACATTGTTGGATCAATCTTTTAAAAAATAAGTCAACTACATTTAATACTTATAAAATATTATATATTCTAAAATATCAATAAATTTAATAACTTAAAAATGAAGTTAACTAAATTTATGAAATATTTTATATATTTAAAAATATCAATAAGTTAAATAACGGTCCAACCGATTCAACTACTGGTCGAACTAATGAACCATTAAACCAGTAGCTTGACCGGTTCGATAACTGGTCCGTTTTTTGTTATAATTCATCCATAATTTGCAGGTCAATGCACGGGTGACATTAGTAGTCGAAATTTTATACAGGAAACCAGTGTAGCATCGTTTACTTTAATCACTTGAGTTATTTTCTTTTTCTTTTTTTATCCAAAAAAAAAATATTTATATAGTGAACGCATAAAATTTTGTTTTGGTCAATAGTCAATACGGAAAAACACGAGAGTGCAATTTTTTTATTTATTTATTTTTTTTTTTCGAAAATTCACATTTTGTCAGTATAGTACTAAATTTAATAGTAAATGGGTTTGACTTTAATGAGAGATAACACTTGTCCGCATTCTATTGCCCAACAAATCAACGGTCAGCATGAACGGATATAATTCCCATTACCACCCACTTCTCTTTTAATTTCGCTTCATCCAAACGCTGCCCGGGCTGCCCGAACCCTGCTCTCATTGAGATTACGGTCAGCCCCTCACTCAACGCTACCTACTCTCTCTCCCACCTCACTACTACTTTCTTCTCCTCCTTTTCTCCTCACAAGATAATCACATACATCTTGCAATCTCTATAGTTCCATCTGCTTGATCCGACGGCCCAGAGTGAAAGCTGCCTATCCTCTCCTTCACGACTCTCAATTCTCTTCAGCTTCAGCTCAGATCTGTAAGTATTTATGTGTTTATATATATTCAACTTTATCTTTTATATTCAACTTTATGTATTTTTTGGTTTACTTCAGTTTTATGGTGGTCATGTTTTTTTCTTCAATTTACTCGTTGTTATCCAATTCATTTTTGTTATAAAAAAATATTTTTGTTATTTGGCTTGGAGTAATTTTTATATTGTTCCGAATTTTTTATTTACTCATTTTTGGTTTCCTTGAAAAATATAAGTTGATTCGTGTCGTTATCTTTTATTTCCCTCGGTTTCTTTGTTATTTCATATTTTTTTGGGTTTTTCGAGAAGATATATTAGTAGATCTAATGGTGGTGTGGGTGGATTTGGAGACAGGTACCGATATATAATGGAGGCTAACTACGGTTCGATTAATCCAACTACGGTTAAGCAGTTCCTGCTAATGAGCAGTGGAGAAGCAGGTGTAGTGGCTTTGGCAGTCTCGGCTCTGGTCAACGCCCAACTCTGCCTCACTCAGGTATTTTACTTTTTATTACAAATATGAAAATATTACTGTGTTATGGTTTTTTATTTACTAAAGTATTTAATTTTAAATTCACCACCCACTTCCAATCTGATTAGTTTTTATTTATTTTTGGTTGGTCACCTGTACAACGGTTACATGTTCTACAGAAAATTTATGTTTATTTATTTACTATAACTTGGAAATAACAGTATGTAATTTGAACTTTCAAACTAAAATAACTTTTAATACAAATCATTCAGAACAAATAAATAAATTTAATTAATTTGAAATAGGAAGAGTTTCTTCTACTTTCTTTGATTTCCTAAAAAAAAAGTCGTTGGAGCATACATCCCAAAGAAAAATTTTAAATAGGCACAAAGGTTGACGGAATAATATATAAATTTATCAATTGTTTTTCATTGTTATGTGATGTATAAATTATACGGCAGCGATTATACTTGCTTCTTAGATTTGATATTAATATTTTATTTACAATATTTTGTAGTACATACATTTCAGAAAAATGTTCCCTAAATATCATTAAGCTTTAAGCATGCTATATAATAATATAAATCTCTATAATTTTATCGTTTTTAAAAAGATGCCTTTCATTGACATTTAAGTCCATTGGCTATTAACAGTTCCACCTCTTTACTACCAAGCAACTTTCATGCCTCAAATTACCTTTTCTTTTTTATATTCGAATATTCGGTAAAATAGAACAAGGCCTGAACATCAGTATCTAGATTGAAGTTCAAAGTATCTTTACAACAAATAACATAAATTATTTCATGCAAGCTATGGTCTCAAAACCCTCAAATTATATATAGTACTCCCTTCATTTTGAAATATAAAGCGTATAAAGATTTCTCATTTTTTTTGAAATATAAGGCGCGCTGAAAAATCAAGACAAATTTTTGCATTTTTTTCCAAATATACCCTCATTGTGTTAAAATTAAGGAAGTGTAGAGTGGTTGTGATTAGAGTAAATAAGGTTAATTTAGTCAATTTATTTATTAATTAATGTCTCCTTAATATTTGTGCAATAACCTTAAATGCTTTATATTTCAAAATGGAGGAAGTACTTACAAATTGAACCTTAGGAGCTGATGCTACTAACCAACCAACCAAAGTCAAGAGGGGACCAACAATCTTCTCCTCACACTTCCAAGCCTGTGGATGCCGAGACAAACAATGATGATGATGATGATGATGATAATGATGATGATGATAGAGATGAGGACAGTGATGATGATGATGATGATGACAAAGATGATGTCAGCCCTACTGACGGCAACAAAAGTGGTGCCAAAAATGGATCTGGTGAGGAAAACGGTGAAGCTGAAGATGACGAGCAAGAGGAGCCGAACGAGGATGAAGATGATGACGATAATGAAGATGATGATGATGATGATGAAGATGATGACGACGATGATGATAGTGGTGAAGATGATGATGATGATGATGACGAGGAGGAAGAGGATGAGGAGGAAGAAGCCATTCAACCTCCCAAGAAAAGGAAGAAGTGAAAAAAACTAACTGAGGAAGGAGTATTTGATATTTCAGGCTGCTTTTTGTGTTTTAAGTTGTTCCTTCCATGAATGAATGTTGTAGAACTCACAATTTGATTTCTATTTGAGAAATGCTAAAATTTCCATCGGATTTGGAATTTGTTGCGGCAACAAATCATAAAAGCATGTCGTACTAGCTAACAAATAGGATACAAATGTGCCGTGCTATGAATAGTATTTATTCAATAGTAATCTCATCCCTAGGTGAATAGTGTTTAAATTTCAAATGCCCATTTATGAGTGATTTGGTAGAGAGCATCACTGTTAAAGGACAGAAAAATTAAAAAGAAAATAAATGAGTAATATGTAAAACTACACGTTAATCCAACAAGTGTTTCAAAAAGCATTAGAGACCTATATCAACAATCAATGCACCTCTTCCATTGACACCTTCGCACTTAATTGTAGCGCACTTAATCATTTTCACTAATGAATAGTGTAAGGTTCATAATGTTATCAGCAGAAGCATAGTTCATGACTATCACAAACCCACAAACCAAAGTGAAGGCGATATTTGCCTGTGATTGAGTTCATATCAACCAAGCCAGAAGAACTCCAAATTAACGTGATATGAACTCAATCACAGGCAAATATCGCCTTCATCCAGTTCAAGAAGCAATTCATTAATAGACCGTAGTACCAAGGACTGACAGCACATATGACTTAGCTCACATTTAACAAAGCAGAAAAATTGAATGTCTGTTCAATTTAAACCACCGAGTCTTACTTTGTAGGATACTGATGATTGCCTGATATTCTCTCCATCATCCTACAGTGACTGGCAATTCACGAGATAACTCCATAGAAATTCAAACATTCAAACTGGAGATTTACTCTCAGATTGATTGAGCAAACAAGAAACAGATATATAATTTAAAATAATAATAATAAAAAAAATCCTCAAACATCAAGTTTTACTATTCTTTTATTTATAAGTGTTCAAGAGTGATAATGCACCAAAGCTGAGATTGCCCCAAGATCACCAGCCAACAGTATTGCATAAATCAAAGAAAAAGTTGTCCAAAATATAAAGAACACCGAACGGGCAAACTTGTCAACACCTCAACTAATTTGAAGGAGTTGACGAACAAGAAACCAGAAGCACGAAATTGTGACCAATGAATAATAAAGACACACAGAGAACCATCCATATGTATGTTCTTCAAATCCATGTTAAATATAAATATGAAAACAAATAAAGAAGAACGTGAAGAAACTCATCCAATATCAACAGAAAAAGGATTGTGAGACAACGAAGTGAACTCCACCTGGATTTGAAGTACCATCAATAGATAAAAGAAACTCAATAGCAACCAATACAACAAGATGCAGAAACACCAGAACAAAAATTGGACTAAAATCAATAATAAGAAAATTGAGAAGTATCCTTCTTATGAATAAAGAAATGGCAAAATGCAAATCAAACTAAATAAAAAATATAAATACATAATTCGTACTTGCTTCAACCTGAAATGACACTAGATAAGTTGAATACAACAGTCCTCAAAATAAGGGAATAGCAGAGGTGGTAACAAAAAATAGCTACCAGAAGCTTTACTGACTTTGCAAACCTTAGAAATGCATAAGTCTTGCAGTGCTTCAACAGTTTCATGTTTAATAAACCCTGTAAATGGCTTAAAAATGTTGGCTATATGCATCAAACAATATAATAATTTCAGAGAATTCTTCATTTTAAAATAAATAGAAAACACAAGTAAATACATTAAAAGTGTTAAATGAAAGTATCAAGCACCCAATGTGACATCAATTAGAGTGGGAACCAAGAATCTTGAAAGCGAATACAAACACGCACACATATTGAGTGGCAGTGGCCTGAAAGCACAAATGCCATCACTAATGGGAGCACAACTTCATCAAAATAGCCACCTAGGCCAAAAACTACAAAATGAGACAATACATGCCATTAAAAAGTATTTAAAACTATAATTTCTGCAGTCAGTCGCAAAATGTAACGAACTAGACTGTAGACAAATGTATAAACAGAAAAACTGGTAACACTGAAAAATAGCATGATGGAAACCATAAAATCACATAACATTGCAATGCACCAAATTGTCAAGTTATTCGCACAGCACCATGAAAGAAATAGACTGGGGAAAAATGAAAAATTAAAGTTGAAAGAGAGTAAACAACAAGGAAAACGACTACACAGCTATCACCAAATCAAAATAAAACTTAAACAATGAATAATGAGAGAACAAACAATGAAGTGAAATATAAATATTAAAGAAACGCATAGAAAAACGTCATTAAAATTATAGTCATAAGATGAAATGTTCCACGACATGTTCTTTGAAGGTTGGCCAAATGACAAAACAAATAAAAATCAAAGGAGACTAAGAGAAAGAAAACGATGCAAAAGGAATAACAGTAAAGTGATATTTCCAACCAAGCCTTTTAAGAAATTTCACCATTCTCAATGTTGTTCATCCATCTCTTTTGTCAGCCTCTGCAAGAATAACTGAAACTGGTCAAAGGTCTTACAGTAATAACATCAAACACCAATTTAAATATATAAAATATTAATAATGAAATACAAATTTACTTTAACAAAATTGACAAGTGCTGAAATAAAACATATAAGCTTGGCGATGTTCCAAGTAATCCAGTTAACAACTTTTCTGATCAAACACTAGCCAAACAATGAGGATAGCCAGTTCCACAGGTAACCTAAAGCAAAAACTCATCCGTTTCTATAAAACCACCAGTTACCACCATACCTTATACAATTACTACCTTATACATTTACATTTCACCATCTATATACTGCAGCCAAAACAATAACTTCAAGTCTTCAACTATAAGCTCAAGTTCAACATTATGCTTCTCCTATTCATCCAAATAACTTGTAGATCCTCTTAAGTATATTGACTTTGTTATCATATATTCAATTTTTTTGCTGGATATGTTCTATCATGCATGCTTTCATTACAACAAACAAAAATAGTGATGCAATGAAGCCATAAAATCCTCTTCCAAATAGAGTTACCAATTTAGTAAACAGACAATCAAACAAAAAATGCCAAAAGCATACACATTTGACACGAAAACTGCACATGTTTGTAAGCACCATATGCAAAGGATAGTCACACAAACACTCAACCATCTTCCTTGTAAGATATAAGCAAGAACAACAATCATACCATATAGGCGAATAACCTTCATTAGTCTTGGGTGCAATGAAGCCATAAAACCCTCTTCCAAATAGAGTTACCAATTTAGTAGACAGACAATCAAACAACAAATGCAAAAAGCATACACATTTGACACGAAAACTGCACACGTTTGTAAGCACCATATGCAAACGATAGTCACACAAACACGCAAATATCTTCTTTGTAAGATATAAGCAAGAACAACAATCATACCATATAGGCGAATAACCTTCATTAGTCTTGGGTGCCTTAGCCAAGTATGAAGAGGTCTGCCCACCCAGCCCACTGGGGTACAAATACTGCATATTTTGAAGCAATGCCCCACTCGACCCGCCTTCTGCACCAGCCGAAACACCATAAGAGCCCGCAACTCCATACGAACCCAAGCCCAAGCCCTGAACCTGACCACCCATAATCCCATAATACCCTCCCATTAATCCACCCATGTTCGGGCTCGAAATCATCCCGCCACCATATGGGTTCACGAGCCCCATCTGTTGTCCCAAAAAGGGCATCGTCTGGGCCTGAGCCTGCTGTGCCGCTGCCACTGCCGCCAGCATCTGCGGCTGCACCGGCTGCAGAGCTGTTGTAATCGAGGCAGCACCGCCAGCCACTTTGCCTTTCCCCTCGGCCGCCTTCCGGCACTCCAGCTGGCACCCATCAAACACCTTGAGGGGATCCTCCAGAACCTTCTTGGCCCCCTCCACAGTCTTGTACACAAAGATGGCGTAGCCCTTAAATCTACCTGTCGTTGGGTCGAAACCCTTGGGCCCATTCTCAATCTCTCCAAACTGCTCAAAGAAAGCCCTCAGCCGGTCCGCGTTTGTGGTCGGGGGCACATTATTCACGTATATTTTGCGCTGCGGATAATCGGAGGAGGGGAAATGCTGCTGAGAGACGACCCCAGGGGCAGCGGGCCCCTCGGCCGCCAGCTGGCAGGAGGTCACGCGGTTCCCTACCTGAACCTTGGGATTTTTCAGCAATTTTCTGGCGGATTTTCGGGTCCTGAATGTGATGAAGGCGTAGCCCTTGCACTTCCCGGTGGCCCGATCGTTCACGACGTTGAGTTCCTCGATGTCGCCGTAGGGGCCGAAAACGGACATCACGAGGTCGCGCGTGGCGTCCCAGCCGAGGCCGTGGACGAAGATTTTGCGGTGGGAGACGTCCTCGTCGGCCGCGGATTTGATGAGGGAGAAGAGGGAGGCGCTGGAGAGGGAGAGGTCGGTGACGAGGGTGACGAGCTGGTCCTTGGAGAAGGGTTCGAGGAGGGTTTGGATCTGGGTCTGCGGGTCGGTTTCGGAGTCGGAGAGGGGGGATCCAGTTTTGGGGAGCTTGGCCTTCTTCTTCTTCAACTTCTTCTTCGTGGGTTTCTTCTCGACTTTGGGCGGTGAATTGGCGGCGTATTTTTTGACGAGGCGTCGCTTTCTAGGTCTGGTTTTCGCCATGGATACCACTGTGTGGTAGGGTTTGGAAAAGATGAGTATATGGTTAACTGATAAAGTAGGGGAAAAATCAATGGACACGAACTTCAGATTTTTTAATTTTATAAGGTAAAGTGGTCAAATAAAATTTCCCATCNCGGCGACTTGTTGAGAATTAAAAAAATCTCATTTTTTTTTGTATAAATATTTGTTGGTTTGTATATTAAACGTTTGAGTTTATTTACAAACATATTTCTTATTTTGCGAATGAGCATCGTATTTAGTTAAAATTGTTTACTTACATTTTTTTATTTTTGTTAAATATTAAGCCAATATTTCTATTATTTTACATTGTATATAA